TAGAGCGGTGAATTGCTCATTTTTGTAAAAAGCCTCAAGACTGTGGGGTGCATAATCTGAGAGGTCATTGACAGCTTCGTCCAGATGTCAGTATGTGGAGAAGTTCACTTGAGCAGAACCTGAGCCCTGGTTTTCAGTTTTAATTCAAAATCTGTTTTAAATTTGAACTTTGCAGAACAAAAAGAAAAACGTGTTTGATGTCGTGACGGTCACACTCCATTGTTTCAGGTCTCCTTTTCGCCTTCAGAACGTCATACAGCTTTCCTCGTTCTTGATTGTTTTGTAGCTTTAAATAAATCTAGGCAACATACCACAGAAAGTTACTTTATCCTACTGCACACTATTTCTTTTGGGACCCGACTATACCCTGTCTGAGCTTCTGTAGGGCTTAGCTTTGGTACAGTCTTCAGCAGATGTACTTGGTTTTAGTTCACCACCACCAAGTCACTCTCAGTATGACAGCCAGGTTGCAACGATATTTTTCATGGAAGTGATCCATTGAGTGTGTTTTGTGATTAAACTATTAATCATGCCATCAAAATTAATTATGTTAATGGGTTTTAATTTATTTCTGACCAGTCAGGATGAATTAAGCAGATCCTTTTGCTTTGGAATCCAGAGCAAAGCTTTCATTCACCTCACGATGGTCAAGACAGGGTACTCTGCCTTTAAAGCTGGTAGCTGGCTCATTTTCCAGGCTAACTAGTCTTGTACCAACCTTCTTGAATGGAAAGTCATGTATAAATACCTTATATGGTCAGTTTTCAAAGAAAAAACATTTCTTTTATTAACTATCCTTGCTAATAGAATTTTATATTAAACCGTACTCAAAATTAGGCTGACTTCCAGAAGACAACTGCAGTTGTAGAATACACTCCAAATTGTGTTTTATTGTCAAAGATAGCAAGTATTCTCCCAGACAGGGCAGAATCTCGACAGAGTTTGGAGTCATGTCCTTGCTTGCCTTATCCCTTCTGGAGCATGGGAGATGGTATCAGCAAAGAACAGACCAAAGCGTAAAGCTCTGGGAACTCTGAAGTAGGTGTGGAGAAGTTTTTAGTGACCTTTATCTTTTAGGTACATTTTTTCTGTAGATAACTAAGACCATGCAGTATTTGCCATTTTTTCATGAATGTATCTGATTGTAGTTCTTGGAGAGACAGAAATAGAGTGAGAGATAATACTCGAGTAAACGATGTGGGAAGTGCCACATATCAGTTAACTTTGAGCACCTGAGTTGCTTTTGCCATGACACTAGTTGCCCTGAATCCTTTTGAAGGTTAATGGGGGGACATAGTTGCTTCCAGACAGGATTTGGGGAATTATCACCGTGGGTTCAATCACTACAGACTCCCCGAACCTCATGGTTTTCTTACGAGGACATACTGCTGGTGGGTTTTTTAGAATGCTGAGATTCTGGTCATACAGGACTTCAGCACATCTGCAGTCAGTCCTCAGCAAGAGATGTGCAAAAACTCAGAGCTAGACAGTAACAGAAAGGATTGTGTAATATGTCGTGCCCAGCCAAATCTACTTTGTAATGAATGTGGCAGGGTTATTTTTTTCTTGAGGCTGTTGGATGCAAGCAGGATCCTATAGTTCTTTGTAGACTAGAATTTGTAAGAAACTCTAAACGTAATCATATTCCTGTTGAAAATCTGGTTTAAATAAAAGTTTTCCACGCAAAAGGGTTATATTTTTTTTTCAGTAGGAGTATTCTAAGCATAACTTTTTGTTCTGAATGGAGAAAGGAAATCTTTCATTTCATTGTATGGGGAATATGCTTGAGGAAAAAAGTCTTCAAATTCATGGTGTTTCAGCCTTAGTAACTATGGCCTGTGCTGGTGAGGGGTTCTGCACCATGTCTTCTCAAGTCCTGCGATAGAACGCAGTCAGGAGAGGACTGTTGCCAGGGTGGTTGCCTGTTAACTCAGTGCCTTTGAACCCAGTTGGTCCTGGTAGTGAAGCATGGGGAACATTTGCTTCTGTCCATCTGGTTCATCCAGCTTCAGCTAGTGCAAGTCTGGTGTTTATGGCCAAACAACTGAGGCAATGCTGCCAAGTAGTTTGGAAAAAAGGAATATACCACAGTGAACATCGGTACTGTTTTTGTTTAATGTCTGCCCTTCGTCTCATAAAATTTGAGAGTAGCTGTGAAAAACAAGGTTTTTCTAACAGTTGAGGCTTTCCTTGTAGGTGTACTGATTTGATTCCTCAGCTTCTTTCTGGATACAAGTTACGAGTCGTGCTATCACTTTCTCAGGGTGATACTCTGGAGGAGAATTTCTGGGCAGTTGTCCATAAAGCTAAGATATATCTATGCCATTGGTATTCAAAGGTGAAAACCCAAGAACAAACTGCTCTCTCTACATGTGCCCACAGCTCTCTAGGATATACAAACTGAGCATCTGTGTGTAATTATTAGACCACTTCATCAAGTAAGTGTCAGGTTCTTTTGAAGCATGTAGTGAAGTTAGTCTGTTGTTATAGGCATGTCAAAGAAATCTTTTTTTTTCTTAAACTATTATCTAAGAGACCAGAATGCCTTTCTGCAGTATAATACTTTCTCTGAGATATTAAGGATTTGTATAAAGCTATATTTTTCAATTAAACATGTACTTTTTATGTGGCAATTCAGTGGCAGCAAGAGTGAAGTAAGGAGCTTCAATTCCACAGAAGTGTAAATACTGCATTTACAACCAGCTTTTTGAGGTTCTTGTTGTGGCCATGAAAATAAAAACCTGCCAACATAATGGGTTAGTGTTTTAGCTCAGACTTGAGGTTCATCTTCATAGCTTAAAATCTGCCACTTAATTCATTTGGGAAGAGGTGTCCTTCCTAGTTCATGTTTTCTGTATTGCATTAAAAATTCAACCAGAAATCATCTGTTTATCCTTCTTCTGTAAGCATTTTGCATTTGTAAATCTACACAAGAAGGATGAAGATGCTCGGAGCCCCATTGCCTTTCCATGCTCGAGTATGCTCAGTCCAGCCATATCTAGTAAGAGAGCTCTGAGATGCTGGAATTTGGTGGAATGGCAAGGGCCGGTCTGTCCCCATTCACACTGGTTTAGTGGGCCCATAGATGTAAGGTGGTGTTGCTCAGAGTGAGCTCTATGGAAGAATTGGCCCCTGTTTTTTTAAAACATGCCTTTTGGACTCCAGCAAGGCTGCTCCGGTTTCTCTTTGGATGAGCATGGAAGCTCGGAGAGAGTTGCTTTGTGGGCTTTGAAAGTGAGGAGCCATGACATTTAGCTCTCAGCCTTAGAGCATTTTTCAGAGTGTGACAATAGTTGATAGCATTGATCTAATTAGAAAAATATATGTTCAGTTCTGATGATCATTTGTTATGATTTGGTATTTGCCATATTTGGAAAAACTCGATGCATTATTGTTTCACTCTTTACGTCTAAATTTTTCCTAAAGTGATGAAATGATCTTTATTTCAAATATCCGCTCTTTATTTTTCCTTTTAATGAGAGGTTTGAGCTGATTTGGGAAAAATGTTTATTTTTTCCCAGTACTTTCTTCAACCTAGAATTTATTTATTCACCCAGTTTTTGTCGAAGGTGCTTTTCTGTTTTCAAACCAGACACTGAATTGTAATTGTCTGATCTATTCTTAAACTGTTTAAGAAAAAAAAGCATTTAGACCACTAGGTAGTTCATTTGGATGAAAGGGAGGGTTTTCTTTAACTCAAAAAATATTTTTTTGTAGACGGGAATTTTGTTTGGATTTTACTTATGCAAAACTGCAAGAAAAGGTCAAATGCTTCAATAAAGTTCAGTTTGCTTTGAAGATACCGAATTGTAACATCCTAATGAAAAGAATATTTCTGTGAAAGCACACTGTGGCTAAAAAGAAGTCACAAGTAAGCTGTCTTGTAAGAAAATCCATCTCTGAGAGAGAACAGTTATGGTGGTGTGTTTCCCTGAGATGCATCCAAGATGTCTGGCACTTGATGGTACAGTAGTGTTCCCAAGACTACAGGCAGCTGAAATTTTTCAGTAGTATTTAGCATTTTTAATACCTTTTGGTTTATTGACTTTTGAGGCACAAATAAATACTGATCTGAGATGGTTCTTAGTGCTCAGATAGAAAACAGTCCGTGTAATACTAAATATTCAGAAACATTATTCGTATTTGGGGGTAATTAGAGGTTGGGATATGGATCGTTTTAGGAGAAAGACATTCTGTTTGCTATGATAGACATTTCTGGAAGTTCTCTTGTCTTTTGTAGCTATTCTGCTCCTGTAGTCTGCCCTCGTGGTGCTGTTCTGTGGCAGTGAAGTTGAGCATCACCTTACCAGGAATGAGACTTGAAACAAGAACTTCATATTGCACTCAGCTGCATGCTGGCTGACGCTGTTCAGCATGTCACTGAGTCGTCGTTGGCTCTGCTGAAATACAGACCTCATGATAGTTGCACTTGAACTCATGCTGTGCAGAAGCTCTGCTAGTTGGATGCAATTTTGCTTGTACATATTCGCCTGATAAAGGCATTTTGTACCTGCAGGTATCGAAGCAGTGCCATTTAACTGATTATCAGTGCGTCCGTAATCTCTTGTAAATTGTAATTCAGCTTGAACGCAGTAACAAAGTTTTTCTCAGGACATACTGTGTGCAAAACATTGCTATTTAGGTGCAGCCTGGGAAAGCAAAAATAATCTTCCTCTGAGCTGCTTGCTAAAGAGCTGTTCTCTTCATGCCACGGTGTCTTCTAGGCGTATGCATGGCCTGTTATTTGACTGATTTATGCAATGAAGTGGCCAGACCAGGAGTTGTTTCAGCAGAGAAGAATCTTAAACATAAGGTCCTTTTAAGGGATCTCAAGACATGCACCCTAAACAGTAACCAATTTTTTTTAACATTAGCATTATGCTTGGAATTTTTGACTAGTGAATGAAGAGATCATTTTGCACAAACTTCTTTCTAGTCACAAGTTTAAACCCAAATGTGTTCATTTGCCTGATTCTGTGCCTGTATTGTCTGTTTTCCAGGTCTCTCTGTACAGTAGTGTGCAAGTGGACCTACACTTCAGATGGAGGTTGGGATGACAGTTTTTGGAAAATGATTGGTTTGGAAGATTTGGTGAAGGATAAGTACGAAAAAATAGGTATATCAGGGGGTTGTTTTGTTTTATACATGTACATTAAAAGTTTATATACATATATATATAAAAGATACATACATGTAAAAAGTTGTATACTTGTAAAAAGATCTTTTGCTGTATTTTTGTCAATGTCAGAAGAAACGTAGCAAGACTTGACGAATCCTCAGATGGGTTGATAGCAAGGCTGAATGCCGACAGGTGACAGCTTTCCTAAGTACGCTTTTTACTTGGCATTGACATCAAAAACTGTGTTTAAATTTTGCATCTTCTGTCCTTCTGAAAGGCCTAGCTTGCCTTTCAGTACTGCTCAGCCTCAACAATAGAGAAGTAAGTGGGAGCATCAGCAATTGATTTCATGAAGGACACATCTGATATGGGTGTATTGGATGGCAGGCTACGAAAAAAAGCCACAACGTAATAATTTATAGCCGTTACTGATAGCATGTTTTGCGACCTGTACTGATCTCCCTCATCTCTCCCTCAAACTTCAATTTTCAAAAAACTGCTACTTCTCCTTGTTATTATCTTCATATTGTTTTTTTTCACTCTTAGAGCCTAAGTTTAATTAGAATGGTAGCCTTGCTAATAGCAATTCCTACAGCAGATATTCATTAAAAGTCCATAATGTTAATATACCAGAAAATTTCCAGGATGACTTTATTAGACTTTCCCTGTTAAGTTAATGGACTTTTAATGGATGTCCTAAGCAGACATGTCGTTAACAAGAATATTACCAGACATGAATTAAAATATGCTCATTCATCAAAGTTAATTATCTGAAATTTCCTTTGATTTTTTTTTTAATGTCTAGCACTTTGAACAAGTTTGTACAGCAGTTTAAATGCAGCAACATGAAATGGAAATGGCGTAGGGAGGATTTTATAAGGTAATGAAATCTATACACTTTTCTGATCATCACAAAATATACTATAAGTCATTTTCAAGTTATCAGAAAATTGTACATGACAGCTTCCTTGAATAGATTTCAGCTTTTCCCTCTGCGACTTTGCTTATGCAGCCTACTAGGAGTATTAGGCTTTTAGCTTCCTGAGGTTTTAGTTTGAATACAGTTCTTAAAACATCTATCACATGTGGCTTTTAGCAAATCTCCAACAAGTTAAAATAAGACTTGCAATAATACATATTTTTACCAGAAAATTGAACATCTCGACAGCTGGTGGTCTCATGGAAGAGTATTTTTAAAATAAATTATTTATGAAGTGTAAGCTAAGGCTTTAATACAATATTTATGCAATGCACTTCAAGGACAGTGCAAAGCAATTTGCCGTTTTAAAACGAAACATACATGTTTTAAATGATAAAGTAGCCATTAATAAAAAGGGCCTTTTGTTGTGATGGAAGCCTCATAAAACTCATCTACATATGGCTCAACATCCAGCAAGACAAAAAATCATGAATTTCCAGTGTCAGGCGTACATTTTTGTTAAAACACAATGTTTACAAAACAAATCAGTAAATTAACTTCTGCTGATAAATGTTTCTTGCAAGACAAAAATGCTTTCCTGAGTTACTGAGGAAAGTGTCTAGTTCCAAGGGCAACCGCGTTGGTTTTCAAGACACGAACCACAGAATACCTGCGTGTGTCTCAGCTGGAATTGGGGAAGCAGAACCCGACCTCCAGAATTGCACCAAACTGTAGGCTACAGCTTGAAGCTTCTGAAGAGCACATACTTTTACTCACCTTGAGAAATCCTTTGGTTTTCAGATTCTTGGGCTGATTACCTTAGGTGTATCCAAAGTATAAGACACTTTTTGGTTTGCATAGCGCTGCTGAAACCTGGCCTTAGATAAGCCTTAGGTAGAATATTTGCTTATTTCCATGACCGTTTGTCTAATCTTGCCTTTTTTAAAAAGGAAAGTGTTACGCTCATTACAATTAGCTGTGTGATAAAATCACAAAAAGCAGAACAGTGGCCTTCATTCATGTCTCTGTGAAGAGGGAGTAAGGAGCTCTCTATACGAATGTGGAAACCAGATAACAACTACTCCTTCATTCCTTGGAGATTATCTTCTAAACTGCACCTGTTGGAGTCTCTTGGAAGGGTTTAGCTTCAGGAGGAGCCAAAAAGACACCAAAACAAAGCAACTCACTCCCTGCCCAGAAGCTACTCAACACTGCTGAGGTCTGTCTTGTGTGCTGTGCAAGTGCTTTCCTCTCTGCCACACCTGATCTTGCCAGTGTCCCTGTACGTGGGAAAATGGGAATGGTAACATTGTTCTGGTGAAAGTTTGGGGGATTTGCTTGTTTTAATGAGTGTTCAGCGTTGTTGGACTTGGAAAGAGCACTCTAAATAAATTCAGCTTTCCTTTACTTACTTTAAATTAATCAGGACAGTGTAAATCCACCTACCAGGAAAGTGCCATTCAGTCACTCGAGCAGCACTGGTCAAACTGCAGCTGGAATGGTCTTGTACGGTGGAAAACTCCTTCCTGCCAACTCCCAAAGTGTCGGCATTGGTGACCAGGCATCATCACTGCATAGACTTCCTCCCAGAAAGCCGCAAATGCTACACTGAGCACGACGAACACAGGGTCACACCTTGTACAAACTCAACTCAAACTGTTTGTAGTGCTGCTTCAGGGTGCTCTCCATAAGTGAACAGTCTCACCTGCCCTTAACTTCAGCACCTCGTACAAAAGGCAATTTGTTTAACTAACTCATATGGACAAACGATGGGAGTGTGTGCTTCCAGGAGGCACATCATGGTGTGCTACAGCTGACAGAAAAGAATTCGAAGCATTAGACTTGGCTGGCTTGCAGATGAAGGAACTCGAAATTGCCAGATAACCTAGGTAGGGGTAGGCGGAAAGGAGACTGTACACAGTCAAACACTCCTCCTGAAATGAAAACAAAACCAAAAACCTAACAAGTCTGAAGTAATTCTAGTGGAATTTCCTTTTCTGTTCTCATGTTTTTCCGAGTCCGTGTGTGTCTGCCCAAGGTCTGTTTGGTTCAAATACAAGGATGTATTTTAATGCCTGCACGTTCCCCTTGTAGAGAGAGATAATGGTATTTTTCTCACGTATCTCCCCTAAAAGATTAGCAGGCTCTGAATCATCATTTCTTTCTAAACAAATCAGAATGTCACAAGATAAAATTAGCAAAATTTTCTTACTGTAACAAAAGTAAATACATAGTTTGCCAGTTTAAAATAGGTAGAAAAGCTATGTGTTTTTTCTTTATTTTTAAACTCTGTAGTGAAATCATTTTTTTTTCCAATCAGAGGGAACTATAGATGAATAGTTACGAACAGATTTTTATTTCGAAGTATCTTTAACATTCATGACACTGGAAATATTTATGGAAATTACCTGAGAACAACTTCTTTAATGTACATAATTCTTTATTCTGATAAATACACTTTTAAACATCACTTTTAAAATGTCTTGCCCTTTAAAAATATATTTACCGTAACCAGAGCGGTGCTTGTGGTTGCAGATAGCACGCTTCTCTTAGTTTCAGTTTAACTGAACATACGACCTTATTGATAAGGGAGACCCTCCCTCTGACCTTTAGGATCTTCCACAAACCTTTCCCACATCAAGGCGTGAGTTCACGTATTAAAATTCCCAGGCCTTTGATGTTTTACGTTTTTCGGAGCAGACTAACCTTTCAGGGAATCCACATAATAAGTTGTTTGTGGTCCCTCCTGTACATCGTGAATTTACTGGTCACATTTGTGAAGGCAGAGAGTGTTATCTGGAGATACTACAAAATTTATTGATCCCATTAATTTGCCCACCAAGAGCAGAAGATGGCTTGTATTCAAAACCACTATGAAAGTGTTGTGTACTACAGGCATTAGCATTTATCTACTGTGGGGAAAGCACATGGTGAGTATCTCTTTGTGGTATTATAAAACCTAGAAAGACATTAACAGTTCCGTTAAAATTTCATGTACTATAGACCTCTTAGGGTACTGAGGCGTATATTCCATTTGGAGGAAAATGCCTGATAAATTTTCACCACAGCCATCTACTTCAGGGGCTACTTAAGGGACCAAATAATGATTTTTTACTAAATGGTAATATTTTATGCCAGGTCTTTTTTTGGTTGAAGATGGTGTCTTTTTCTGAGATAGCGTTGCAGGTAGTGCAGAATAGGTTTTATTGTTCTTGTAGATGGTGTGTTGAAGGCTAAAATGCTGTCTTTTGTAAAGGGGTGTTTGTCACCTCCTTTCATCTGTGATGGAGCAGCATGCTGATTTTAATGAAGTATTTTTTTGAAAAGCAAGATTTATACTTGGAGATGTAGTCCTTCAACATGATAAGGATTTCATAAACCCGATTCCCATCTTTTTCTGACTAGGAATTTACAGCCACATCCTCAAAAGTGAATAAATACACAGCTCATATATATGGGATCTTTATGAATATCTGAGGCAAAACTAGAAAAGTATTTGAATTGCTTAAATCTCACAAATTTTATGGAAATTCAGTGCTTGCCTTGAACTTTGAGTGCTTGAAATTAATGTGCTAATGAAAATAACTTGCGTGGACAGATGGTTATATCAGCAGATTGGGTTTTGTAGACAGCCGTTGTCAACAATCCTGTTCACAAAGTGATAAACTCTTTCTTAAAATTACTTGCATTTTTTTTCCTTTAAACTTTCATATGACTGGATAATATGCAGATCAGAGTTTCATGCCTGTCTTCAAGCAGCACTTCTCTCTCTGTTTCTTAACTCTGAAACTGTAGCTTTGCTTAATTTAAGTAGAATTCTTTCAGCTTTGATTTTGACTTTGCAGGTGATCTGGTCCTTACACATCTCTACTTAAATCCCATTCTGGATCTTTTACCCAATCATCATTCATAGGCAACTTCAAGAAGAACACTTCCCGTTTTCCACAGATTGCCTCAATCCATCTCCAGCAGGATTTCTTCTATTTTTTTTTTTAAAATTTTGTTTTTAAATTTTATGTTTTCAATTGCAAAGGGTTCAACTTAACTTCAAAGTGCATTTATGGTTGGTGATCTTCAC